AAGTAACGCCATGTCCTCCATAATTCACAGCCAGCTCGCACGTTGACTTTATCTTGTCGTCTGATGATTCGTCGAGTCAAGTTACGTTCGGGATATTTTACAAGATTTGAACAGCTTCGCTGGAGTCTGATATCCAGTGCGTGAGAGGGACTGGTACGCCGTACCACAGACAAAACCCTCAGAAATGTGCAAAGAGGTGGCGATATCGCAACAATATGAATTCACATCTGATGGTGTAGCATTAAGAAGAGACTCTAGAAGACGATTCGGGTAAATCTGCCTAACATCCTGATCTGGAAGTCTCTCAGTTGCCAACCGATTGCTCGGTACCTCATGCAGCTCTGAAAAACGAAGAGACTCCGGACGAACGCGTGGTCGGAATCTACAAATGTGTTCTAAAACGACCGCCAAAACCGTTCAGCTGTAGCACCCTTTCGGTACCTAACCGCCATGCCACCCGAAGGTTGTACGAGTGCTGAGATACTGCCAGGTTGCCGAAGCCTAGACAGCAAAGGTCGAGAGGCACATGTCGGGCTCGAACCACGGACCTTCCGGTCAGTAAATTCGCGCTCTAAAAACTTGGGCTATCTCGCCCCGACCGATAGCGAGTTACTGAACCGCGCTATCTGTAACTGATGGCAACGTCATCGATTTGGGCTCGCAAGCAGCATGCCACTGGAGGACACAATGTGGCTAGACAACTTTGGCTATATTCCGGAAGTCAGTACCACATAGAAACGACCTGTGGTTAGTACACAGCTTAAGCAATAGTTCACCATTGTCCGTACATACCCAGTCCAATTCATTTCGACCATCTAATTGAGTCTCAGATGCACTAAGACGTTCCATTTATGTATTCAGATCCCCGGAAACCACGATATGAGATTGAGCGCGCCGCAACAGGGCATTCAGGGCGTCATAAAACTTGTCTTTGATGGTCCCAGGGCTACAGTCAACTGGGACGTGAGCAGACACGACAAACAGACATCAGTCAACTACCCCCTTGTGAGACTGCTACAGGCGTTGCCAGACGGACCGCGCAGAGGTAACTACCGATGGGTATCCAGTCGAGCAAGGATCTTTCCGCCCCGTGACTCAGGACGATCCAAACCCTACACATCCTGCCACGGCAGCCCTTGCATCATCAAAGATACGCAGCCGGAAGCGAGTGGAGAGTGATGAGGCGGTCAGCTCAACCATTGTGCTTGTATCTTGAATTATTGTTTCTGATGCACAACACAAATCAATCCCAAGCGAGTCTAGTGTGAAAGCACCAGCCGCTTGTTGACCTGGTTGCTTCAGAATTCGGACACTGAAGGCAGCCAGATAGATTAGCCGTCGAGGCTTGAAGACTGATTCCAAGACGCCAGCGCCAGATGACGCGCAGACATTGTTTGGAAAATCTATGCAGGACGAACGGGGTCGTCAGTCGCAACTCACAGACCTACAAAATAAAAAAATTGGTGCCATGCCGCCAGAAAGACAGCACGAAGGTTGGGAAACTGCCAAGGTACCCAAGCCCATATGAGGGTAGTGGAGAGGCAGAGCTCGGATCCTTACGGACCTTCCGGTCAGTAAATTCGTACTCTAACCACTGAATTATCTCGCCCTCCATGACCAAATTGACAGTCCGCAATTTTCGGCCTAGTGGTGCTTCAGCTGTCGACTTCCGGACTTTCAAAGATGCATCTTGAGTGGTCCGATAGCCCCGAAGTAATCTCTGAATAACTTCGACGGATGTCCCCTACCCTCGATATTGGAGGAACGCCCGCTTGAACGTATTGACAGAACGTTCTACCTGGTAGTTTGACTGCGGGTGGCACGGGGACGAACGGACGTGCGTGATTGCATTTCTCCCAAAGAACTCTTGGAAGCAACTGGAGCTGAATCACTACCATCGTCATCCTCACCACCATCGTCATCTTTATCATCATCATTATCATCATGAAATCAGTGTTCAAAACCGATGCTTCAATGCCGTACAACCATGATTTGATTAAAAACCTTACTGTTAAGGAAAGTATAAGAGTAGACGGGGAAGGGATTTAGTGCTGGCTTATTACAATCATTCCGAGGTGCTCACACTTCCAAGCACTCATTCAGGCAACCTGGATAAAAACTGACAAGATTGCCATCGGTTGACTGTCATATCTTGCAGCGTCTCTAACCAGTCGCAGTGGGGATCACGCGGTCCCCATCCTGGAAGGCGAGTAGCACCATCAACATCAAAGACAGTAACATGAATGTTGGCACTGATGCTTCACTGACGTAGAACCATACGGTTCATCTGGAGGAAAAGAGTGGGTGGAGGGGAACATAATGCTGACCTTTGTCAAGAATTTCGAGGTGCCTCAACCTCCAACCGCACAATCAGCACCAAAAGGTTTCGTAATTCGCTCCGCCAGGTCAAGGGTTGGTCCCCTCTCCGCTTTCGCCACTCTGAGTTGGGCATGAAAAACAGCACTCTCTTCGGCAAACGATGGCTAGATATGCGCAACACATATCCCAAACAACGCAGCTTTATGTGCTGGACACACTCTTCAGTGGAAGTACCCGCTGCACAACCGAAAACGCGCTTTCTAACTGCCTCGTTAAGGATACGCCGACATCAACCCACACAAGCTATAGTTCTGCGACAACGATTGTCGAACACCTGAAAACATCTCAGTTCCGCCGCTCGAACAGGCCAGGTCTCACAGCCATACAACAAAACAGCCTGCACTATAGCATGATACACACGTTCCTTGAGGTTCAGGGATACACCACTTGACGCCAAGGGTGTCTCAAATTAACGACAACCCAGGCCTTGCAGAGTCCTGCATTGTCCTCATCCGTCAAACTACTTTTGGAACTAACACGACTTCAGAGATAGGCAAAACGCTCCACAAATTCCAGTACCCCTCCCTGGATTGTAAGTGGCGCGTTAAGTGACTGCAAGTTCAGGAGTATGACGTTACACTTCGTGGCTGAAAAGTGCAGACCTAAGGACGGGATAACTTTGATCAGTTCATCCAAAAACACTTGTGCTTCATCCTCCTCTTCGTAGATAAAGACATCGGATTTTGGAAATCTTCCATAGTTCATCTCGTGATTTCATCGATCACAGAGTTAAACAGGAATAAGCGGAGTGGCAATCCCTGACCGTACGGAGGTCAGCCTTTCCCTAATAACATTTTAAATGGATGTGTCACGTGCAGGACACGGACCAAACGAAGTCATGCCCCGATTGGTCAGAATGTCAGCCAATCCGGATCGAGCATCTTTGATCCGACGCTTTTCGCCCCCTCACGGAGATTCTATCACTACCTTGTGGGACGCCCTGTGATTACCCTATAAATACAGTTGTAATACTTGTCTTCTGTCTCCATAAAAGGCTGCGTAGAGCTACCATACCTTTTGGTATACCATAGAGGGCGGGGCAGGAAACCAAGGGACCGATACTGAGTTGCGCCACCGCTCAGCAAAACCCAACATTGGCGGACATTATTTCGTCTACGACAGCTTTCGGAGATCTCGCCGTATGCCGTTACACTTCCGGAAGTATGGGAATACAAAGGGCTTATTACGGTCACGAACATCCGGTGCATTCCTTGGGTGGCAATTGTATCAAGCAGAACACACTGGTCAATCGAGTCAAAAGCGCCTTGGAAGTCCAGTAACACTAGAATTGCTGGTCGCTTATATGTATGACGTCGTCCTAGCACCTAATGAGGTGTGAAGATTCGTCAGTCGCTTGACGAAGGCCGCCTTCCCCCTGCTTGGAAGGAAGCGATTGTCACGCCAATCTACAAAACTGGTGACCGACTATCGCCTGGCAGCTATAGGCCTATAAGCCTCACTAGCGTGCCGTGCAAGGTGATGGAACGCATTCTGAAGCGAGCCATCCTAGATCACCTTACTTCCAGCAACCTGATATCTCCAGCTCAACACGGATTCCTCCCAAACCGTTCTTGCGTGACAAACATGCTCGTGTTTATGGACAGCCTAACCCAAGCCCAGGACGAAGGACTCGTATCGGATGCCATATTTTTCGACTTCTCAAAAGCATTCGATAGGGTCCCACACGTCCCGCTGCTCCACAAACTCGAGTCTTACGGAATTCAAGGGAAAATCCTCCGCTGGATCAAGGCGTTCCTATCAGACAGGTCATTCCGAGTGAGAATAGGCTCAACCTATTCCTCTTCAGCGCCGGTCTCCCTTGGAGTTCCTCAAGGCTCCGTCTTGGGACCACTCCTGTTTCTGACCTACGTCAACGACCTCCCAGACGTTCTTGCGAGTCCATGTTTACTTTTTCCGGACGACTTGAAATCCTGGAGTTCCAATGCCAGCGCCCTCCAAATGGACATGCTCCTTCTCGAACCCAATTTAAAGCACTATTAGACATTTATTTATGCGAATCCTCGCGCTAGCGAGCATTCTGCCCCGCGCTGAGAACATAAAGAGCAGTGCTACACCCTTTTTTCACTTGTGCCTTTCAGGTGAACGACAGCCACTGACCGACAAGAACAAAACCGACCCGGGAGACTTGGGCAATAGCCTCGATCCTGTGTATCAATCCGTGAATCCGTGAATCCGTGAATGACCCCTAATTCACCGGAATTCAGCTTGTTGCACTCGAGTCAGTGTTTCACGAGCCCCCATAACGTGACGAATCACAAATGACGCCACCAATCTAGTTACAATCGGGACCAAGCTAATCCACCTGTGGATGCCATACTCACTACGATCACTATTTCCGACTCTACCCAGTTGTCTAACGCAGCCTCTGTAGAAGACAGCTACCAACATTGTGCTACCGTTTCCAATCCCATGTGACAGCTGATGCCCATATTTATTCCCCTTGACCAGATGAACTGAAACCTTCTTGTTTTACTGAACTATTTTTATAACTCTTACGGACTTTGGTCGGACATTGTAATTTTTGCGGTTGTTCGCCCTCGATATCTGTTTGGTTGTGACGATATCGATTTTGAGGCGAAGTGATCTGCGTCTATCCTCAGGATGGTGATTGTACCGCCTTATTTTGTAACCCTACGGTATCTGCAGAGGAGAATCTGTTGAGTAACGTGATTCCAGAATTCGGATTTCTTGGTCGTTTTCGTGGATTGGCACGCGTTTCCCAAACACAAAAAGCAGATTGCCGTAACAGTGGATTCCCGACCGGGAATCGAACCCGGGCCTTCAACGTGACAGGAGGAGATACTGACCACTATACTGCCGAGGATACCACACCGGTTGGTTTGTGCAACTCGACATCTCAGACGGAATCAGGAACCTGCCTTGGCGTCCTACTGGTTCGTGTGAATGGTCCGCAAGGCAGCGTTCTCACGTACGCATTGTTGGATATTGGGTCGGATGTGACATTGGTTACGAAGGACTTGCTTGATGAGGTTGGTCTGACCGGCACTCCAACAATTTTGAATTTATCGAGAGTGAGTGGGACCTCTAATGTAGAGGCTATAGGTCTCAGAATCGAGTTTGAGTCGGTATATACAGACGCGACTGTAGCGGCTGAACAAGCCTTTGCAATACGCTCTCTGCCCATCAGCCCACCGGTCATGAGCCCAACGAAGATGGCTGGCCAATATGATCACTTGAAGGATACTACCTTTGTGGAAATTCCTGATAAGCGTGTGAGAATATTGATAGGAGAAGACGTTCCATAGGCACATTGGCCTATGGAGAAAAGGTTGGGCAGGCAGAAGGAACCTTATGCTGTTAAGACACCTTTGAGTTGGGTTCTACTTGGTTCGTTGTCCATAGGACATAGAGTCTGGAGACATGTTCAACATGAAAGTATGAAAGATGATGACATAACTGCTCATCTAAAGGCTCTGTATGAGGCTGATTTTAACGATTTAGTGACTCCGGGCGTATGCCAAAGTGTCGAAGACATAGAAGCGCCTCGAATTGCTGAAGAGTCTTCAGTGTTCAAGAATGGTCATTACGAAGTACCATTGCCGTGGAGAACGGCTGAAAGACTTCCTGACAATTATCGTCTAGCCCACTCTCGATTGCAATATATGAGGAGGCGTTTTGCAAAGGATCTGACTTTGTTAGCGCGATACAGAGAACGCATGAACGATAACATCATTACGGGCTACCGCGAACCTCCACCCACTCATCATTCTAAATCAGGGGACGAAAGAAAGTGGTATTTATCTCGTCACCCCGTCTTGGACCCAAAAAAACCAGAAAAGCTACGAGTTGTCTTACGTTGTGCGGCCAAGTTTTAGGGAGTATCCCTGAACGATAGATCGTATCAAGTTCCCGACACTACTGCGAATTTGTTGGGAGTTCTCTTGCGCTTCCGGAGTGATTATGTGGCTGTGGCTGCAGACATTTCCGAAATGTTCATCCAAGTAAAGGTTCCCGAGAGCGACAGGGGTGCATTACGTGTCTTATGGTGGGACTCGGAAGACTTGGCCGGCGAGCCCAAGCAATTGCGAATGATAGTTCATCAGCTTGGAGTCACGTCCTCGCCATTTTGTGCCATTTTCTCCTTGAGATAGACAATCTCAGACAGGGGATTGAATTGCATGACTGAAGTGAAACAATTAGTGGATAGATATTTCTACGTTGATTGTTTGGCATCACTGCCGGATGTGATTGTGGCTCACAGATTTGTGCGTGAGCTTAGTCGAGTGTCATCAAAGGGTGGTTTCCACTTAAGAAGATGGTTATGCAATAGAGAATCTCTCTTGAGTGAGGTGTGTGAGTCGGATGTCTCGTCATCGGTGCTTTCCATTGAAGCCTTTCAGACAGTCGAAAGGACGTTGGGTTTACGATGGGATGCTAAAGCGGATGAATTCCGCTTCACCTTTGTTTTTCCCGATCGACCAATCGCTCGACGAGGGATACTGTCTTCGATCTCCTCCCTGTTTGATCCTTTGGGTTTGGTAGCCCCTTTGCTTCTGCCAGCAAAAATACTGTTACAAAGGCTGTGTAAGAAGCAATTACATTGGGATGAAAAACAGAGCGATGAAGACTCAGAGAGTGGAAGAGATGGTTGAAAAGTATAAAGCCATTAGACGAACTAAAAATACCCCGTTGCGTAAAACCTGCTGACATTTATGATGCAAATGTAGGTTTGCATATATTCAGTGACGCCTCTAAAGCGGGGTATGGTGTGGTTGGGTATTGTCGCTGGTGCGTCGAACCCGATAAATTCACACGCATGCTGATATACGCCAAGTCTATAGTGGCACCTTTGAAATCTGTAACAGTGCCGAGGCTTGAGTTGAATGCCTCGCGACTAGCCGCAAGGGTAGCGGAAGAACTGCGGAAAGAAGCAGGCATTTCGTTCACAAGAACAACTTACTGAACGGACTCCACTATGGTGCTTTACTAAATACGAAATACTGCCACTCGCTATAGTACCTTCGTGGCAAACAGAATCTCTACGATTCATCAGTTGTCGTCACCCTGAGATTGGCTGTCAAATGGGGTTGGAAGCGGTAGCACAATGTTGGTAGCTGTCTTCTACAGACATTTTTCCCAAATGCACGCAAACAGATCTGGATGAGGACTGAGGACTCACCCCCTACTTTGAACGAACAAGTATCCTTGCTTGACTAGATACCTGTTGATAGTCGCCTCTGTGCGGTTTGTCTGGCAAATTCTGTGAAGGCGTCTCACAAGTGGCAAGTTGGTAAATGTCTGTTTGTTGTGTATGTATACGCCCCAACCGATTGTAGGTCCAACCCCATCAGAGACAGTTTTTATGATGCCCTGAATGCCCTACTGTGGCAAGACAAAAACTCAGATATCGTGGTGAGTGCCAGAGATTTGAACGCTTAACGTATCTGAGACTCATTTAGGAGTTCGACATGGAGTAACCTCGGTGCGTGCGGAAAATTGCGATACTCGAAGTCGTCTAGCCGCATGGTGACCCCCAACAGCATTCTGACCACGAACTCAAATCATTCAAGGTGCCATCAGTCAACGATGATGTGAATCAATAACTGACTGCCGGCCGTTGTGGAACACATTTATGGGTTCCAACCACGCGCTCGTCCGGAGTCGTTTCTTCATATATTTTTGAGAGCCACGCAAAATGCGGACCAATCGTCCGGCAACTGAAAGACTGGCAGATCCGGATGTTAGCCGAACCTTCCGGGATCGTCTTCTGGAGTCTCTTCCATAGGGTTCACCACCAGATGCTAACTCATAATGGGATAAGATTGCACAGTGCTAGGAATGTTTCCTGTCGCACGGCACAACCAGGCTCACTGAAGCACCGGATATCAGACCGAATCTGGCACTCCCTAAATCTCTGAGAAATATCCCAGCAGGCCCGGAACATAACTTGCTGCAGTGAATTATCAAACGTCGAGTGGGGGCGAACACGTAAGCCGACCGTGAAGTGTGGTGGACAGAAATCCAAAGGAATAGAACAGACTCAAAAAGCCGGTAATACCCGACCCTGCAACTGATGGAAGCATCAGCTGCTACGACAATCGGTGGCTTGTGATCGTACTGCGACAGTTCGGAGCTGAGTATGGACCTGAGCTGGCAGAAAGTAGTTCCACGTTCTTCTGGCCAAGCCTCGTCCTTCTTTGGAAGGCAATTGAGTGTTAGCCAGACACTCCATGCAGGCAAAAATGCAGAATAGTAGCCGGTAAAACCCAAGAATGAGAGAAGATTAGTAACATCCTTGGGAGCCGGAATCTGTTGAATTCCTCTCACGGTCTCGGGAACAGGTTTTCGACCGTGTATACCGAAGATGAACCCCAGATACTGAACGTCTGTCATGAAGAACTGATACTATTCAGGAAGGGGGAGGAGGCCGTTTTCCTGGACGGGTTGAAACAACCTATTGATTTGCGTGCACAGTTTATCGGGAGAGGCGGCAGCATTCAGCACATGTTTCAGGTATTCGCCCACACCTTGAGTGCCAGAGAGGATGGTATCCGCCAACTGATGAGAGATCGCAGATATTGGAAGTCCGACGCAACTTTGATTTGCAAGCTTGTGTAAAACTTGGCGAAACAATGGCCGCCGTTCATAACGTTGACTAAATATTCGGGCACCGGCATTAGCTAGGGGCACCGTTTGAGGGCTGTGTCGAGGCTGGTCGGGAAGTTAGCACAAATGCGAGTTCACCCACAACGATTTCGACTACCCATGCAGAGTACGATACTGGGATGCCTTGCTGCCAGAGTGCTGTGACTTGTGGAAGAACGAGCAACTCTGTATCGGTCCCCTGGCTTCCTGCCCCGTTCACTGTGGTGTATCAAAAGTTATGGTAGCTCTACGCAGCCATTTATGGAGACAGAGGACAAGCGCTACAACTGTATTTATAGGGTATTCACAGGGCGTTCCACAAGGTAGCGATTGAATCTCCGTGAGGGGGCGAAAAGCGTCGGATCAAAGATGCTCGATCCGGATTGGCTGACATTCTGACCAATCGGGGCATGACTTCGTTTGGTCCGTGTCCTGCACGTGACACATCCATCCAAATGATGTGACGTTCGACTTTCAGAGACAGCTGGCCAGCGCACATCGAGGTGCTTGAGTTGCGCGTCAAAATGTGGCAAGATGACGGAACCGGTCCCTTGGGGCCGACACCTGAAGTATCTTCTTGTTCGAGTCGAGGGGTTGCCTTTGTGATACAAGAGTGACCAGGACCAAGCTTGATAACCTTAGCGAAGCGCCGAAGGATATTAGCGAACTGATCTACAATTGCCACGGGTTAACCGATCATATTGCAAGCGTAACTGGTTATGATATGTCACACCAAGACGGTCGAAATAGACAAGACCAAAGAGGTTCTATTCGGCAGCGGCGGCGTAACACGACCCAGTGAGTGTCGTCTGTGATCTCAATTTTTGACCTTCACACCCACCATTGACGATGCCAAATTGCATCAAAAAATTTGGTCTGATTTTTCTGAAACAAATTTAAAAGCAATACCGCGTTATGAACACAGAATCTATACGGTTCTCTGCCGTGCAAATTAGTGCATGCCTCGACCCGTGGTAATGCGCGCTATGGACTATCTGTTTGGCCGTTGTCAACTCCACCCGATTTGTGCATCACGAAGAAAGGGATCCCGATCTGAAAAAAGGGAAAACAACAACAAGACTGCACATCTCACGACGTCCATCACGGGGCTGTCTGGAAACAGAAGTACTTCAGTGCAGTGGTGGTACGGCGCTGGAATACCCGGTTTGACAGCATACCCGCAATTGTTCCCCTCTTACTTTGTCCAGGCCCTCTCGCTCACTGGTTCCCATACCGACAACCACAATCAACCTTCTTTTGTTCCCGGCCACCACCGGAAGGCGTTCATTGCAATCTGCCGAACCTTCTGCCAGATGTAAGGATCTCGGCGGCTTTTATTCGTACTCCTTACCATCTCAGTCAATTATTGGTCAGCCTGCGTGAACTCGTTTCCAAAGTAACTTTCACACTCGACCCTGCTCCATCT